GCTGAGTACAGTGCTGCAGGTCACCTGTCTTTGTGTGGTGCTGGGATGGCTGGAGTGAGCTGGGATGATTCTGCTTTAGCTGATGAAGTGCAAGGGCTGCCTTGAGGTTCAGAACAACCAGGAACCCTCTGCTCCCTGTGCTGGGCTGGACTGTGCACTTTGCAGTACCAGGTCCAACCCCAAACTCTAGGATTTCACTTAGTGACAGTGAACAGTGTCCAGTCCTGCTGACAAGTCTGGAGCTTTGTGCCTCATGTGGAACCTTGTGCAGTTGTGAATTCTGTTTTGTCCAACCTGTAGCTCATCCATGATCAGGTGTAATGCTCAGGAGCATTAATATTTCTGAATGCAAATCACCTCTGACACAAGCAGAGCCCTCTCAGTCCCTGGCAATGAATCTGGTCTTACATCAAGGAGCCAGCAAGTCCTGAGGGCTCCAGAGATTTGGGAACAGCAGTTTCTGAGCAGATCCCCAGGCCTATTGATGGAAGCTTCTCTTTTTTAGGAGAGACTTTGTTTTCTAGGCAATTAACCACAATACCATTTTATCCTGTCAAAAATAGCAATCTACGGTTTTACTTATGTAATCTCCAGAGGCAGCAGACAGTGCAGCAGCAATCCCTTCTCCCTCCCAGCAAGTCCTGCAGGGAGGTTTGGTTCCAGTTGAATTTGAGGGTTTGGATTTCAGTGAAATAAACAAGGAGAAATAAAGCCTCTTGAAACAAATGAATGCTTTAGTGGCAAACGTTCCATTCACAGCACAACTAGCAAAGATTGATTTCCTATGGATTTGCATATTAAATGAATCCCCTCATACATTTCCCCTTCCTGTCACATCCCTAGTGCCCTGGGAATTGTCCTGACTGAATCTCAGCATGTTTGCAATGGGCCCACTGGTAATCAGCATAGCAGAGGAATTAGAGAACCTCACTCAGAGTCCTCTAAGCTCTTCATTTCTTCCTGGAACGTTGTGTTTATTCAGCTTTCTCTTGGCAGATGGCTACTCCTCAGAGGACATTGTCTACCACTGGTCAGAAAACCAGGATGAGATCCACGGGCTGGATAAGCTGCAGCTTGCTCAGTTCACAATTACCAATTACCAGTTCACAACAGAGATCATGAACTTCAAATCTGGTAACAGAACCTCTCTTGAGTTCAAGGACAGTATCTGACTTTTTCCTACACAGGGAAACCTCCTGGATCAGTAATAGGAAATCCTTCTTCTTAAGCAACCCATTTAAGAACCTGTCAGGTTTCTGATAAGAGTTTCCCTCAGCCTACGCTTGCACCAAGTGCCAACCTGTGCTGAGCCTCCAGGTAGCCACTGCAGCATGTTATGTCCTTTAGCTCTTTCTGTTTGACAACACACTGCGTGGAGTAGCCAGACAGCACTTGATAAAACACACTTGAGGTACAGCTCACATTTTCTTGACCTAATTTGCAACTTCAGATCAAGAAAAATTTCCATTAGCCCTGACACTATGAAGCCTGTGACGTGCAGTCAGATCAGTCTAATTCTACCCAGTAGAAGTCAGTGGTGTGTGTGTCTCTCACTGGGCTTATTGCAACGTTTGTACAAGATTGGAGTCATTTCTTGCCTGCTGATTTTTCATCCTCTTTCAAGTATTCAGATTCTCATTTATGCTGCACATCTCCTCTAAGCTCTTTTTTGAGTTTGAAATTAACTTGGCCTTTTGAAAAATCTAAATTTAGTATCTGGAGGACTTTCTACAGCAGATGATAAGACAGTACACATTTTGAAGCAATACTGTTATTTGAGAAGACTCATGATTTTATTTTCAGATCTGGCATTGATATGACCTGAGACAAATCATTTGACCTATTCTTAGCTGGTGAGAGCTGCAGTACCTCGTGCAGAGGGTGTGGAGGCTAACTGAGCAGTGTTCAGTACAGCTTTGTGTCATCCTTGCCCAAGGGATGGTAAAGAATCTGTGTCACTATAGGAAATGCCACTGTGAGTATCACTTTGACTGGGATTGACACAACCAGAATCTCTCTGTTTGGCTCTTTTTTCCAGCAGGTCAGTTTCCCAGGCTCAGCCTCCACTTCCACCTGCGGCGGAATCGAGGGGTTTACATCATCCAGTCCTATGTCCCTTCCTTGCCATTGAGAGTATCACTTTGACTGGGATTGACACAACCAGAATCTCTCTGTTTGGCTCTTTTTTCCAGCAGGTCAGTTTCCCAGGCTCAGCCTCCACTTCCACCTGCGGCGGAATCGAGGGGTTTACATCATCCAGTCCTATGTCCCTTCCATCCTCCTGGTGGCCATGTCCTGGGTATCCTTCTGGATCAGCCAGTCAGCTGTGCCTGCCAGAGTGTCATTAGGTGAGCAGATGGTTTGGGGCACCGACGGGGCAGGGCCTGCCCGAGGTGGAATCACACTCCCTGATAATCCTCGTGTCCCACGAAGGTGCAGCTACGAACACTGTGTGTGTGTTTGCAGCAGAGATGGTCCTTGAGGGGATTTCCCTCCTGCTTTGATTTCTGTCGTGCTCTCAGAGCAGCTGCTCAGTAAAGAACAGCAACCAACCACCTAAAGAGGGTTAACAGCAGTAATGACTGTGAGGCAGATGAATGAGAGAACTGATTTGAAGGAACTGGGGCAGTGACAAAGAAATGTTCTGGAGCTTGTGGTTCTGTTTGTCTGAGTAACACTTGCCAGGCCAGATGTCAAAGTGTTCGAGGGTTAAGTGTTTGGGTTTGGTTTGTCCTGATGTGGAGCAAACCACGGATAATGTGTTCCAAGCTGTTTTACACACACAGTTTTCACAAGCTCCCCTTTTGACAATCAGAAGCCACACTATTAAGGGCCTTCTCCTGTGAAAATAAACCTCAGCTTCAGACCAGTAAATGTGTGTACGTGTAATAGATCAAGTCTATATTCAGTGGTGGAGTCACCATCCCTGGAGGTGTTTAAGAGTTGTCTGGAAGATATGGTTTAGTGGTTACAGCAGTGACAGGTTAACGGTTGGATTTGATAATCTTAGAGGTTTTTTCCAGCCCTGATGGTTCTCTGATTCTGTCAGTAAAGACATGCTGTCCCGTGCTGCCCTGCAGGTATAACCACTGTCCTTACCATGACCACCCTGATGGTGAGTGCCCGGTCCTCCCTGCCGAGAGCCTCTGCCATCAAGGCCCTCGACGTCTACTTCTGGATCTGCTACGTCTTCGTCTTTGCTGCTCTGGTGGAATATGCGTTTGCACATTTCAATGCTGACTACATGAAGAAGCAGAAGAACAAGATAAAGACAAGGAGGCAGAGTGCAGAGGTCAGTAAGTGTGAAGCTGGGGATAACTGTGCCAAAGCACTCGCTGCATCGTGACCTCTTGTTCACTGTGGAAGCAAATCCTTCCTAAGAAGGCTCTAAGCATAGTCTCGGCGGTGCCCTGGTAACTCAGAGCATGTGAAACCCTAACCAGGGTTATATGTGGCAGCACAGAGTGTCTCAGCAGTCCTGCCAAAGCAAGGGTCAGTTACCTCTCAGCACCTATGGATCCCATAGGTGTTCCCCACGTGGGTGCCGTGGCTGGCTCGGGTGAACTACCTGTGCCCTGTGAACTGCTATGATTCTCCTCTTTCCTTTGCAGATCAACGTGAAGAATGCCATTGTCCTCTTCTCCCTTTCCATAGCTGGTGTGAACCAGGAACTGGCCATTTCCAACAGGCAGCACCGCATTCCCAGGAGCCTGCCTGGAGCATATGGCACAATAGAAATAGAAACTGGAGAGACCAAACAGCAGCAGGGGCTGAAACTGGACAAAAAGACTGGTCTGAAGTCCCTCTTTAAGCCCATCGACGCCGACACCATCGACATATACGCCCGAGCCGTGTTCCCAGCAGCCTTTGCAGCAGTCAATGTTATATACTGGGTTGCATACACCATGTGAGAACAGCCAGAAAGGGAAAATCCATGTCAGGAGCCACAAACTGGGCAACACCTGTGGACTGAAAAGCCCTTGCTGAAAGTGTGCTGAGCCATCTCTTCTCAAACTATTTTCCAACGAGCTCAAGACACTTCTCAAGTCAAGAAGGTCCTGCTACCAGTACCAGCAATTCATGGCTGATCTGATTTGGTGCAGTAAGAACTGTGCTCTGCCAAGCAATCCAGCTCCTTCCCTCCTGTGACACCATGGGACACTTTTTCACATGTACATATTTGTAGCAGAAGTTTAAATCTCAAATGGCCATGGTTCTCCTCCACTTCAAGGGTTGATCAGTGATGAAGATTTGGCTTTCCACACTCAGATAATTTCCTTTTTTTGTACTGAAAGAGCTAATTCCTCACTTCTGCACATGAGTGGATTTCTGCATCTGGCCTTCTGTGGGATGGGCTGGTTTGCCAGGAGTGGTGAAGTTGGAGTTTTTAATCAGAAAAATCTCAAGAACCAAGTGAAAGGGAACAGAGGGAGTGGAGGTTTTTCTTAAAATACTCTTTGTCTTGGATAAAGTAATGAAAAATTTCAATGCTCTTAGTCACAGCATGAAATAAAATATACTACACAAAGTCCTACTGAATTGTTAGTAATGACTACTCTGCATTTCCTGTCTAAGCTGATGAGAGGTTAAACACCCAAACACAGAAATGTTCATTAGTTCAATAGGCCCCAAATTAGCTAAAAGTGACTTGGAATCAGAGGGAGAGCTCAGGCTTCCTGTGCTGGATTGGAAAGATTTAAAGGTGCTTCTCAGGGAAGGAACTTGGACTCCATGTGCAGGAAGGACTTCAGGATCTGTTCTGTGAATTCTCAGTAAGAGTCTGCCACGTGTGCCTCTTAAAACATCCCCTGGAATCTGTCCCTGAAGAGCTGAGTGAAGCAAAAAATAACTCATAACTGGTTTTAATTACTCAGTTGCTTTGGCTATTTTGGCCATTTTTATTCAGAGGTTGACCTAATCTCTTAGGCCTCTTCAGCTCCATTATTTGACAGTGAAATGTCTGGGTCCTCACACACTCCCTCATTCAGGACCAGATCCTCTCACCCAGCTCCTGCAAAACAGCACTTTGTTCTGCCAGTAATTCCAGGGAACTCAGCAAATGAACACAAACAACAGACAAGGTTCACCATTACCCTCCAAAATCTCCCCAGTAAACATACTGGGATGTGGATGAAAACCACTGCAATGCTGGTAGTGTAGAAATGCTAAGTAAGACAGTGCCAAAGGGAAATGTATTTTGAGGATTTCATTGCCTTGAAAGGGAAGAGTTTGCTTTAAATACAGAGACTGACACAACAGAAAATACAAAGCAAGAGAGAGAGGGAAGGGTCAAAGTGGCTGAAAGCTACAGTGGAAGGGACAATGTGGAGGGATGAAACAAGCCCAGAGATGTAGGTAAGAGAGGAGCTGTGCTGGGCCCTGAAGATGAGAATTCTGACCGTGGTGGCTGATGAGCAGCAGCTGCAATAAGGATGAAAGAAGGATTTGATCACATTGGAGCACGTGCACAGTCCTGCCTTAACTTACCAGTGATCTGTGGGTTGATTTCATGTCCAGCACTGAGAGATGGAGCATTTTAGCACAGATTTATAACTCAGCATAAGTTTTGTCCAGTATCAGTGAAGTAAGAGAATGTTTTGAAGACCAAATAATGACCTTGAACTGAGCTGTACTAGAAAATATAGTCCATTGCCAGTCAGTTTAGGTTCACCTCAACCTTTAGTTTCTGTTATCAAGGAAAAACTATCAGCCCACAGAGTGCTGGAAAGCCCAAACTGGCATCAAGCTGTGATTGTTCCACAAAGTCCTCACCAATCCAGCCCTGACTGACACACCTGGATCTGCTCCAAGATCTTGCCACTGACCTCCTGGGGAATCTTAGTTAAGACCTTTCACTGCACCAGCTGCAAAATTGCTATAATGATACTGATTTCTTTCCTGTATCTTTGAGTTTTCAGAAGAAAAACCCTTCAGGAAAGACACAAACCTCTTATCCTCCAACTAGGTAAGTGCATCCAACCAGTACTTCTGTGGTACCAGAGTTTCTGAGACTTATACACTGAATTAAAGCAAAGTCTCACTCCACTTTCACCTTATCCAGAAAGCAAATGAAATTCTGCATCTCCCTAAATATTTGCAGGTAATTAGACTTCTTCTTTTCCTCCTACTTCTCCTCTTTCCAATTTACTTTCCTCACTGTTTGTTCCTGATGTTGATGCAATGGTACATTACAGAAATACACTATTTTTTTTTTCTAAGTGTGTTTTTGGTCATAATCACTTTCACTCCAAGGAAATTCAACATCTTCTGCTTTCTTCTGAGTCATTCTGACTGGTTCAGACAATGATAAGTGCAGAGTGCAATAAAACCAGCAGAAGCATGACTTCCCTATGCCTTGGCCTTGCTAAGCTGTTGCTTTTTCCATGATCCATCATCACACCCTTTGGACAGCCACAGTGTTGCCTTGTTCCCTGCCACACTTGCATGAATCAGGAATAATCTTTGGGTTAAAAGCAGCAGATTCACCCCTGCTGTGAGAGCAGAGTTCAGCCTCTCTGCATCCTGCTGGTTCCTCTAGCTAGGAGTTTATGATGTTCCCTGTCAGAGTCGGTGTCTTCTGCTCAGAGAGAAATTATTGCCCAAATCCAGCTGAAGAAATATTCACAGCAAGTTCCTGGGGAGCATAAATCTTAGGAAAATAATCCATGCTTTCGGAATTAAAGTCACTGAAGAGCAGAGCACAAAGCAGAGCCCCAGTCCCTCCGTGTGCAGTGAGAGTAATTAGCAAGGAGGTGGCTGCAGATATTCTAAAGGCAATGTCTAATCTAATTACTTCAGCACTAGTGGTTTGCAATTGTGCACCTGACAGAACTCCTCTCGCCCAAGCCAAGTGACTAATCACATGGGGCTGTTGGACAAAGTCAGTGGCTTCTCCATCTGGGAGGCAGTTCCAGGCCCTGTGTCCTGCTGACTTCTTCCAAAGGTTTGCTCAGGGAATTTTTGCTGTGGTTTGACTGCAGATCTTCAAGGTGCACAGCTCAGCGTGGCTGATCAAAGGAGAAGGTGGCAGCAAGCTCCTGAGAAAACCAGAGCCAGAATGCCAGGCTGTCACAGGGATGGAGACAGGAGCATAAATAGAAGGGGAAAGTCTCTCAGAAGATTTCAGGCAGAAATGTGAGCTGTGAGGTACATATGGCAATGTGTCCAGCCCAGGAACAAGTGTTTGGGCACTGGCATGAGTAGCACAAGGCAAAACACCTCCATCACTCTTAAACCTATTCCCAAAGCCAGAAACAGAAAGCTCAGATGCCATTCCAGCTTTTAAGGAGATATTTCAGCACAGGACTGTGGTGAACTGATTGGAGCTCTGCAGAAATCTGAATCTTCTGTACTTTTGCATGTGCTTTACTTTTTTGTTTCATTTAAAAATCATCTTATTTAAAAATCCTCAGACATTCTTGAGACCTCTTAACATCTAAGGACAATTCCCTATTCAGCTCTAACTTCATGATGCCCTTAATAAAGTGACATAAGCCCAATTTGGTGGCAGCTGAATGCTGACTTTGGATGGGTTGTACTAGTGTCATAAAAGTATGTGCCAGATCAGAAGGCACCTGAAAGCATTTGTGTTCCCTGCAGCAATTTATAGTCCTGCTCCATGGACTGGTTTGTCTGTGAGAAAAGGAGTGGGATATGTGTTAATGTAACCATTCTAAATGTGAAGTGTTAATAAAATGTAGATATACAGAAACTGGAGCTTCTATAAAGGCACAAAGTAGACATTGCAACCATTGAACTGCAGGATAAAATGCATTAGAAGGAAAATCAGAGTGACTCCAGGGATTTCATCCCATCATGACATCCTGCCTGTGCAGGGCCCAGGGGCCTGCAGAGCTCTGCTTTGGGGCTGCTGACAGGAGAGGAAGTGCCACTGTGTGCTCACGAGAGCTTTCTGGGGGCACTCATGCAGACTGCTGGATTTCTGCTGAAAAACTGCTGCTGCTGCTGCCTCGAGAGGGTGGAAAGAGTCAGAAAGCACAAGATGAAAGACGAAGAAGAGCAAGATGCTGCGTGATGTGTCCTGCTGGCAGTGACAGCACTATGAAGAGGTTAAAATGCAGACATGCCTGTCCTGTTTCTGGGTAAAAATGAGAGCATTTATCCCAGTTCCAGTAAAAGCTCTCACATCAGTCCTTACCCTTTGCTAATCCAATAGATAATGGAGCGAAACCAATTTAACTCAACGAGGCTTCTGCTGTTGGGGCAACAAACCACTTAATGCGATTGCTCTGATGTTAAATACTCACAGTCATTAACCTAAAAAAGCACTTCCCATTAAGGGGAAAGCAGCACTCTGGATGTTTGTCTCTGGAGCAGCACAGACAACAAACAGCTTTCTGAAAGTTTCTGAGGATATTTTCATTAGAAAGAAAGGATCAGAAGCAACTCCCTCCTGCCCTCTCCTCTGCAGCAGCTCCAGCCACTCACACCGGGGGAAAGACAACAGTGTGCAATGGATGTTACAGGCAGAGACAGCTAATTCCTCTTACTGGAAACCGACTAAAAATCTGGCAATGAACACGTGTTTGGGGATGGATTTGGTGCTGGGGTGAGGGAGACACCGTGTCCCACATGAAAGGAGTTGGAGGATCTAAGCCCCTGGTTACGTAATGCAGCAGGATCTGCTCTCTCCCCATACCAGCTTTGTGTCACTGCTCTTCCCCTCACTAGGTCCTGCACAGTAAGGACAAATCAGAGCAGACAGTCGAGCCCAGGCTGTCAGAAAATATAGCACCAACAGAGCTAATCAGATGTTATTGGGAGTTCACTGTTCCGCAAAGAGATCGGTCCAGAAAAATAAGTCCAAATATTCCTCATTTCTGAGACCTCTGGGAACTTAGCCCTTCCTTAACTCTTGCAGTACTTCTGTCTCCCTTGATCCTCACTTATCCTTCCCTTGATCCTCACTTATCCTTCCCTCGATCCTCACTTATCCTTCTCTTTTTTTCCACTTGAAATGGGGAAAAAAGAAGAAATTATCTTTGGCACGGGAACATACTCATGTAAACACACAGGTATGAAAACAGCCAAAGTGTCAGTTTACAAACCTTCGTACCCTCCAGTGAGCATCACACAAAAGGCAGGAAGGTCCATGCTAATTTTGGGAGTTAACCAGCACACTCCTACCCACACACACACACACTGTCTCCTCCGTTTCATCCTCTTGCACTGCACACTGCTAACCCCACAAAGGCAACAGAGAGAAAAAGAGACTTCAAGTCATTCCTCCAGTTTTCCACACTCTTCACCAAACTCTTCTGGAGCTCATAGTTTTGGCACAAACATCTTTATCA